GTAGCCACTATCATGTCTAGCCTGGATTATTGCATTAGCCTCCTAATAGATCTTTCTGCTTCTGCTCTCATCCCCCTACAGTCCCTACTCAACACAGTTGCTAGAAAAATTCTTTCAAAATGAAAATTAGATCATGCTACTGATCCTCCCACCTCAGTCATAGTAATATCTAGTCTTTCCAAAGGTCTACAAAGCCCTAAATGATCTGTCCTTCTCCCTGAATATCCCTTCCCCATAAATAGTCCTATTTACCTTCCTAATCTCATCTTCTGTTGCTCTAGTCCTTGCTTTTTCCTCTCCAGCTACACTAGCTTTCTTGCTGTATCTTGAGCATTCCAGGTTTATTATATTGCCTCAGGTTCTTTGCTCTTTCTTTTCTTTCTACAGAGAAAGCTCTTCCCCATAGTCATATTTCTATCACTCACTCCCTCACATCCTTGAAGTTTTTGCTCATTGTAACTGCCACAGTGAGGCTTTCCTTGATCAACCTATTTAAAATTACAGTCATGTATCACTTAATGATACTTACAGTCATGTATCACGTTCTGATAAATGTATCAGGTGATTTTGTCATTGTACGAACATCATAGAGTGTACTTACACAAATCTAGATTGTATAGCCTTCTGTACATCTAGCCTATATGGTACTAATCTTACGGGACCACCATCATAAGTGTGGCTCATCATGGACCAAAATGTCATTATGTGGTGCATGACTGTACACCACTTTCCCTTCACATTATATTTTATTTCTTTCTTTATTTAATGTATATTGCCCTCACTTGAATATAACGTTGATCAGGGCAAGGTTTTTTGTCTGTTTTGATCACTGCTATATCCCCAGTGCTTAGAACAGTGCCTGCCACAGAGATGATAAAAAAATATTTGTTGAACTTTTGTCTAACTAGAAACTACTATATGTCTTTCATGAGGCCATGCTTGGAGGAAAGAGATAAAAGGCCCAATACAGCTCTTCCATGGTTGGCAAGATGTGTGTACTTTACTCTCTGTATGTCAGAAAAGCTATAAAATGATACAACTTATTAGAAGTAATGAAGAATTCTTATATAAGATAACAGAAGTCATCGAAGAATGAAACACAAAAGGTGGAAGAGTTTCCAAATCAGTTTTACTAAGTTACTGAAGGGAAGAACTAGACTCATAGGAGAAAGATATTAAGTTTGCCCAATGGAGTTAGGTAAAATTATGAAGATTTTCCTCAAGGAGTGTCAATTCTGACATCTTGTAGAATTATACACAGTCTTTACATCATAGAACAGAAATGAAAAATTTTCAGGTTCTGATCCTTTCAGAAAATTATGTTATTGACACCAGAAATGAACAAATGTGGATGGAAGTTACATCAGCAAGATGATGGAATAGAAAGCCCTCAACCTTCCTTCCCCTATGGACATGTGGATTTAACAACAAACCAAGCAAGGCCTCTGTGAGAAATTCAGAAACCAGTTAAAACATTTCTGCATCCTACTCAGTGCAAATCCAACCATATGGGAGCCCAGTAGGAAAATTTGTGATGCTCTCCACTCTCTTGCCAGAGCCTAACCCCACAAGCATGGTTGGTGGAATTTAAACAAAACTCCTAACTCCTGTCTTCCCCCTAGAGAGAAAAGGGAGGAGAACTTATGTTCAATGTTCTGAATTTTAGGAGGGGTTCTTGAGGGACCAGTACTGTATCCATGTACGGGTAAGAGTGGGTCACCAGGTTGAGGATCTCAGAGCAAAGACAATAAACCAAGCGCTAGAGTCTGCAGTCCCACAGATAGACATTAAGTAAAACACCACTATTGTGACTTATTACAATACCAGAGATGTTAGTATCTCAGACAGACACCAGGGGGGAGCTTGTAAATAGAAACCAGCAAATCTCATCAAATAGCCCAGAGAAGACACATCCAGAAATATCTCAGGAGGTCTCCAGAATCTCTAGCCTGGCTTAGTAGTGGAAGTCTTCAAAGAAAGAGCACAAAGTCTGAGAGAGCTGGTTAATTCTTCAAATGCCAAAATTCCAACAACAAAAAATAACAAGACATATAAAGAAATAGTGCACCACTACACATTTAAAGAAACAAGTTAAATCTCCAGAAACTTGCCCTAAAGAAATGGAGATATATGAATTGCCAGAAAAAGAATTAAGAATTACTGTCATAAGGTTGCTCAATGAATTAAAAGACAGCACAGATAAACACCTAAATGAAATCAGAAAAATGATGGATAAGCAAAATGAGAATATTAACAAATAAAAACTATAAAGAACAACCAAACAGAAATTATGGAACTGAAGAATATAATTACCTAAATTGAATACATCACTAGAGGAACTCAACAGCAAACTTGACCAGACAGAAACGGAATCAATGATCTCTAATACTGAGTCAGAGAAGGAAAAAAAGAAAAAAAGAATGAATAAAAATGAATAGCCTAAAGGATTTATGGAATACCATCAGGCAAACAACATATGTGTTATGAGAGTACCAGAAGAAGAAAAGGGAGAAAGGGGCAGAAAAATTATTTGAAAAAATGACAGTCAAAAATTTCCCAAATCTGAGGAGAAAAATGTACATACTGATTCAAAAAGTTCCAAAAACTCCATAGAGGATAAATGGAAGGAGACCTACACCAAGACACACCATAATCAAACTGTCAAAAGTCACAGACAGAAAATTTGAAAGCAATAAGAGAAAAGCGACTCATCACATACAAGGGAATTCCCAGCAGATTATCATCAGATTTCTCAGCAAAAACCTTGTAGGTTAGAAGGGAGTGGAATGAAATATTCAAAGTACTAAAAGAAAAAGACTGCCAACCAAGAATATTATATCTGGCAAAACTGTCCTTCAAGACAAAGGAGAAATCAAGACTTTCCCTGATAAGCAAAAGCTGAGGGAATTCATCACCACTAGATCTGTCCTACAAGAAACGGTGAAGGGAGTCCTACAAGTTGAAATGAATGGATGATAAACAGTAATACAAAACCACACCAAAATATAAAATTCCCTAGTAAAGGAAATATAGAATCCTGTATTGTTGTAATGTAGGTGAGTAAATCACTTATAAAAATCTGATTTAGAAGTTTTTTAAAAGCATAAAAAGTAACTATAAATCTATGTTAATGGATATACAATATAAGAAGGAGTAATTTGTGTCATCAATGACAGAAAGTGGGAGGGAGGCAGATATGTAAAAGAATAGAGTTTTTATACACAATTGAAGTTAAGCTGTTATCAGTTTAAAACATATTGTAATAACTTTAAGATCTTCCACAACTTGATCTTATATTTCCCAGCCACCTGAACTATGAGAAATAAATATTTGTTGTTTAAGCCATCCAGTCTATGGTATTTTGTTATAACTGCCTGAACAGGTAGAAAAGAAATTCCATGCAAACAAAAACCTAACGAGAGCAGAGGTAGCCATACTTATACTAGACAAAATAGATTTTAAGACAAAAACTGTCACAAGACACTTAGAAGGACATTATATAATGAGAAAGGGATCAATTACCAGGAAGACATAACAATTATAAATATATATGCACCCAACATTAGAACACTGAAATATATGAAGCAACACTGACAGAACTAAAGGTTGAAATAGGCAGAAACACAATAAGAGTAAGGATTCATACCACACATTCAATAACGGATAGAACATCCAGACAGAGAATCAATAAGAAAATGTTAGACTGTAACAACACCACATGCCAATTGGACCTAATTGGACCTAGACATACACAGAACACTCCATCCAACAACAGCAGAATATACATTCTTCTCAAGTACACATGAAACATTCTCCAAGATAGAACACATTAGGC